GCAGCCTCCGAGGGCTGCCTCGGCAGAGCCCCAGCCCGGTGTGGTTTCTTTCCCCGGTATTTGTGCATCGGCAGATCGTCGGTGTTCTCACGTCAGAGCTCGGCTGCCGCTGAGCTGTTTTCCCTGCGTGGCTACACTGGGGTTTATCCCTTTTACATTCTTCCACTTTCTTCACTGTGACAGGTGCCCCGAAAACCTATGGCGGGTTATTCCCACAAATCCTGGAAATGTGACTGCTCTGGAACTGAGGCAGTAATAGAGATGGTACCATTTACATCTTTCTGTAGTTTGAAGAGAGGGCCTAAAAATGCAGACCAGATTAAAATAGGGCGAGTGAAGGAATGGAATTTCTTATTTCTGGTGGCTTGGAGAGAGGACACCGAGACGAGAAAAAAATAGATGCTGTGAGAGAGGTCTAGTACAGATCAATACGTTTTTGTAACATTCAAAATATTGCTGTCTTCCAGCAAAAACAGTGGCACATACAGTGGTGTATCAGAGGGCTTGGGCTTCCTGCTGCAGACACTGAAACACATTTTCACAAGTCTTAAAATGGGATTCTGTGTTCAAGAAAACCTGTCGAGTGTTGGAAGTTTTTGAGGGAGTCTCCACTTTTTGGAGCAAAGTAGTATTCTCTTTCCTGCACACTGGCAAATGTTTTTAGAAAACCAAAGTGGACAAAATGGCATCATTTTAAACTGTAGTGAAGCATTCAACGTAACACAGAGGAAACAGATGTCAAAGTATGGGTAAATCTGGAAATATTATGGAAGTAGCTTTACAGCAGGGGAAAAGAAAATGAAAACCCTGTGTTAATGGATAGCAGCAAGATTTCTGGCCGAGAACTGAAGGGCTGAATTAAGAAGACTGATAGCAGAGCCACAGACATGGAACAAAGAGGACTTTTAAAACATTTTGAATGCCTTTGAAGCATTCCTTAGTGATGGTGTAGCCATCTGTTGATTGACATGTTGAAGACAGGTGGCAAGAAGCGGATCAGAGAGTGAGCTGACAGAGTTGTAGAGTTGGATATCATCTGCGTGGAGATGATGCCCTTTGTTGAAGCTGGCAGTGAGACCTCCCAGAGGAATAGGAGAAATACAAAAAAAGAAGTGAAAAAAACCCTCTGAGAAGTACAAAAGGCTGCAGTCTTGTGATGCTAGTGTATATTTGAAACAATACTAATTCTGACTTTATTAGAGTTTGTCATGATTAACATTGGTATGAGAGAGGAATCAATTCCGTGTGTCTCCTGTTAAATGGAAAGTGCTCTGGGCACCACGACCAGGTCGTACCGATACTTGCAGTTGACAGGGGTATTTTGAACGTGCCTCTGGATGGATCAGGTCACCTCAGCAGTGTATCTGCTGAGGGATGTGTGTTGGTAGAGACAGGAACCCAAACTTGGCCAAGAGAGGAAGAATACCTAAATTGAGTCTTTGTTCAGATCTTTCACCAAGAATTGAAACTTTAAATTAATTTATGACCGCTATTTCCAGGTTCTTGCTGGCATGGCAGCTACAGAAGCTGTACCTTTTCTATGTTGCTTTCAACAAATGGAAGACAGAAATCTGTTCTAGTGTGTTACAGTTTCTGTGAAGTGTATCTATTTGGTTTAAGGATGAGCTGGATCTTTTACAAGTCCATTAAACAATTATTAAAAGTATCGAGTATGTAATATCCAACTGGTATTTGAAAGTTAAAACAATGGCGTTGCGCTGACCATTGTTGTCAGAGATGCAGACTACGCTTCAGATACGGCTGCTCAACAAGTGCGAGAGAGCAATGTATTGCTATAATTCTTACCAATTAATAATAGGAGTGCTTGGGCCTAGCTACACAGTGCAGTTGAGTTAGGACACCCACGCTAGCGTGTCCACGTAGCGCAGTACCTCCCTCCAGGTAGGGCGAGGCGGTGATAACCCCAGTGCAGAAACCAAAGAGCCACACTAGCTTCCAGTTCTTGTTGGCTCTGTTGTGTACAGCTGGTTTCTGACCTTGTTCTGCTGGTCTTGACACACAAGGTGACATTAGCGGCACTGCCAGTATACGCTAATGGCGAAGTATCGAAGTCCTTCTTTGCCTTGATTTGTCACTGTTACTGTGGCAGAGGGCAGCGGCGTTCGTTGGGAATATTCCTGTTCCCAGCCAGCATTTGGCAGCGAGGGCTGGGCTTCTTCCCTGATAACCTTGGGTAAGTACAACTTAGACATATGGATACGAGAGAGTTGTCTCCGCTCCCTCTGTACGTGGTGGGAGTAAAGCGGCATTTCTGAGACCTGATTAATGTTATGCTGAGGTGGACATCTAACCTAGGGCAGATGTGTCATGACTTAAAAGGGCCTGTTCCTCTCCACTAATTAACAAGAATCCCAATTAGTGTGTGAGGTATACATAACCACATTTTAGAAGTCTAAAGTTAGGTAGGATAAATATGTTTGTAGTGTTACCTTTACCAGGTTGCACAGGGCCGTGTCAGATGTTGTCTCATCCGGTCTCAAAAGTAGTCATCATCGTTCCACAGAGTGTGAGGCTGAGGTGCAACACGTGCTTGAGATCAAAATGCTACTACAGGATACTTATGAGTCCTTATTCTAGAGCTTTTCATATGTCTGTCATACAGGGAAGAGAACTGCAGTACCTCCTTAGGATGTTGCTTTAAGGAAAATAATGCATTTTGATCAGGCTTCTTACGGTGCTTTTGCTGACACGTTTCTCAAATTTCACATTTAGGCATCTGAAGTTTGGTTCTAGCCTATATATAAGCCCTAAAATAACTGTGTCCCAATTTCCTGATGTGCCAATTTACTTGGAAGCAAGTGTGCTGAGTATCTCTGACATGCTGGCCACTTTTTTTGAAGTCACTG